GGGGTGACTAGGCTAAATTACTGTTTATTTCCTCAGAGAGTCAAAAAGAAGCCATATTCCACCTTTATGGAAGTGGTGACAATTACCTTGTTTACCTGCCCAACTCTTTATCCTATTCCACGTTTTGCCCCAAGAGCCATGCACCTCAGTTATCAATCCATTGCAATCGAATCCTTTCTGTTAACTCACACCAGTCTGTACCTTGGCCCACCGTCATGCTTACTTGCTAACTGCCGTTTCCAGCGACACTTGCTATATCTCAGGTCCATCTTCACCTTTCCTGTTGCTTTCCGTGTAATTATAAAAGGTACTAAATGAAAGATTGCCTCGTTCAATGTGGAAATTAGGAATTAGTTTTCAATGAAATTTAAGAAAACTGAAATTTTAGAGGACATGACACTTCGTAGAAGTTGATTTACAAATAGATCGACTATATAAAAAGAGACTTTAAATCCTTGAAACTCGAAATGTTAGATTATCTGTCAAGTTGTATATATATGCTAATAACTCTTCATTGCTGGATTTGGAACAGTGGGTCTATGAAGTCATCTCATAAATGATGGATTTGTGCTCACTTAGCAATCTCTTAGGATTAGTACTTATAGTTAGCTCTAGTGTAAGATACTAAATTGCATTTCTTGATGATGAGAAGTACTCCCTGAATGTTGATCTCTATCTATGATTTTTTGATATTTCAGTTAACTTCCTTGATGGAAGGGGAGCCTTGGTGTAACTGATAAAATTGCTGTCATGTGATCAGGAGGTCACGGGTTCGAGCCGTGGAAACAGCCTCTTGCAGAAATGCAGGGTAAGGCCGCGTACAATAGACCCATGTGGTCCGGCCCTTTCCCGGACCCCGGACCCCGCACATAGCTGGAGTTTAGTGCACCGGGCTGCCCTTTTTGTTTAGTTAACTTCCTTGATGATACTTCTTTTGATGTCTTTGTTACTTCTAGCAGAATGGTGATTCCCCCGCCAATTAGACCAGACAGAGTTACAAAGTATCTCAAACCTTACGTGCTGAGGATGCACTTCACAAACAAGTATGTAAATGCTCAAGTAGTTCACACACCAACTGCAACGGTTGCCGCTTCTGCAAGTACACAAGAGAAAGGCTTAAGGCTTGCCATGGTAGAAGGAAAAGAAAATACTAGAGATGTTGCTGCTGCTGCAAAAATAGGTAAGTTGTTAGGAGAGCGATTGCAGGCTAAAGGTATTCCTGCCGTATCTGTTTTCTTTAAGAGAGAGCAAAGGTACCATGGAAAGGTCAAAGCAGTTATTGATTCAGTGAAAGAAGTAGGCATAGAATTGGTTTGATTGAAACACAATGACTACTTTCTCGTTTCATGGCCTGCTGGATTTCCTCCCAAGGCAAAGGATTTATATGTTCTATTGACTTTGCAAATCTATTTTCGCGACAATTTGCTTGTCTCAGTTCTTCCAAACTGGAGCAATATGTGGTTTTATGTATGAGATGTCACTTATGANTACCCTCCCCCTTCCTCCACCATCCTACCCCAGCCACGACTATTCTCCAGTAACTTTTTTCCTTCTCGAACCTGATAATTATAAATCCTATTCATCATTTGCGTAAAGTTGAAGTCTAGGATGTAGGAGATGTGCTTGTTTCGGGGTCAAAATCTTAACTTGAAAATCAGATTAAAAAACAAAGGGAATTTATACAACAATATCACGTGATACTAAAATTATAGCCTGTTTGGCTGTGCTGCCGTTTTGCAAGAAGTGTTTTTTTTCATAGCCAAAAGTACTTTTCCCCCCAAGGTTAAGGTGTTTGGCAAAGTGTTTAGAAGGCAAAAAGTGTTTTTCACTAGAATTAGAAGCATTTTTTGAGAAGCAAAAAAAAGTAGCTTCTTCCCAAAAGCACTCTTGAGAGAAACACACTTATAGCATGTTTGGCCAAGCTTATTTTTGGCCAAAAGTATTTTTTTTTTTGGCCAAAAGCACTTTTGGCCTCAATTTGAGGTGTTTGGCCAAGCTTCTGGAAGGAAAAAAAGTGTTTTTGAGGAGAAGCAGAAGCATTTTTGGAGAAGCAGAAAAAATAGCTTCTCTCCAAAAGCACTTTTTTCAGAAGCACTTTTGAGAAAAATATACTTAGAAGCAGTTTTTTAAAGCTTGGTCAAACACTAATTGCTGCTCAGAAGTGCTTTTCAAACTAATTAACCAAACACAAACTGCTTCTCACCAAAAGTACTTTTGAGAAAAACACTTTTGAAAAAAAGCACTTCTCAAAATAAGCTGATTTTTGTAGCTTGGCCAAACGGGTTATTAGAAGGATTTTTTAAAAGTTTGGCCAAACACTAATTGTTGCTCAAGCACAAACTGCTTCTCACCTAAAATACTTTTTAAAAGAAAGCTGATTTTAGAAGTATGGCCAAACATGGTGTTATCGTCTAATAACTTATTTGGCTTTCAAGTAGAGTATTTAAGGAGAACGGTCAAAAGATGTTTTAATTGCACAATTTCATGAACGATAATTGTCTCAGTTTGGCGTGAATCAAGTAAAGTGTCTCAGTTAGGGGTGTGCATTCGATTTATCGATTCGATTTTGACCCTTATCGATAATTACTTATCGATTATCGATTTATGCATATGCTTATCGTTATCGTTTCAATAAGGTTTCGATTTTTTCGATTTCGATTTATCGATATTTGGGGCTTATCGATTCGGTTATCGATTACACCAATAAGAAAATTTGTTGTCCCTTTAAGTATAGAATAACTTAAGATAATCATAGTAAGTAGTAACAATTGTTCCTTCTATTGTTCTACATACAGTAACATAGACTTTTTTGCTCTCTCTTTTACGTTTTTTTCCTTTGCTTGACTGTTCATTTGACCAGAAAAGTGTCAGCACACTAAAAAAAACTGAACAAGTTACAAATGTTTTTACAACAATCAGAAGTCACCAACATGCTACCAACTGATAACAAACAATCTCAAATAAAATGANGACTGTCTAATGTATCTGACTACACATCTAACACGAGCAATAGAAATACTTGACTCTTTTAAACCATCTTTCACAATAAGATTTACAATATGTGCCATGCATCGCATGTGAAGGTGATGACCATTCATGGAATTGGTTCCCCAATCATCTAATTTGTCAGACAGCTGCTCCACGGTCACATCATTTGAACTAGCATTGTCAACTATGACAGTGAAAATCTTTTGCAAACCCCACTCACGCAAATAATCAATAATACACCTTGCCATATCTTCACCTTTATGACTAGTAATTGGAGAAAAGTTAATAATTCTTTTATGCATAATCCATTCACTATCAATCCAATGGGTTGTGATGCACATATAGTTAATTTTTTGAATAGAAGTCCATGTATCAGTGGTAAGACTTACTCTTTGACTTGTTCCTTTAAGAAACTTCAGTAATTTATTTTTTTCCACATTAAAAAGAGCAAAACAATCCCGTGTAACAGTAGTACGGGAAGGAATATGAAAACAAGGTTGTGTCATTTTCATAAAGTTTCTAAAGCCTTCCTTCTTAACAAAACTAAATGAAAGTTCATCAACAATCACTATACTACACAAAGCCATCCTACACTCTTCTTGATCAAATTTCCATGGAATAAGACCACCTTTATTACCCCCCGGTAATGTTTGAAATTGTAATAGTTTTTGACCTTTTTCAACTTTATAAGGATTATTTGGACATTTATTGATATGATTATTCATTTGTGTCGTACTTTTACCTTTTGTCTCAAAATATTCTTGTCNAAGTTCATCAACAATCACCATACGACACAAAGCCATCCTACACTCTTCTTGATCAAATTTCCATGGAATAAGACCACCTTTATTACCCCCCGGTAATGTTTGAAATTGTAATAGTTTTTGACCTTTTTCAACTTTATAAGGATTCTTTGGACATTTATCGATATGATTATTCATTTGTGTCATACTTTTACCTTTTGTCTCAAAATATTCTTGTCCACAAAATCTACATGCATATTTATTATTTCCTGTAGCATCAACCTTTTCTTCAAAAAAATCCTATGCCCGAGATCGTTTTTTCCTTTGTTTTGTAATTGTCGAGTGAGTAGTTGCAGTGNCTACTTTCATCAGCCACTTTATCAGTATTACCATTTTCAGCCATGTGAAGTGAATGAAGAATGTAACTTACAGTCTTAAACGAGTTGAATGAACCAAAGCAAGACGAAGTCAGCACTCCTCGCTCTTGAATCTACATATCAAAATAAAATACAAACCTTGTTTTACATGGTTGCCACAAGTAGGTTTTCACCATTTGCATACAATAAGCAATTGAAACTTAGTTGTACATCATCACACTAATAAGGTGGAAAATGATACCAATAAAAAAGGGTTGTTCAAAAAAAAATATGACGTAAAGTGTAAGGTCCAGAAAGTGTTAAAACTCATGTCCATTTATTTTGTCACTTTGTTAATTATTTAGTTTGATTCATGTAGTGCTTTATGTGTTAATTGGATCACGAACTCTTCCATTTTAAAGCAATGGAAAATGTTTTTCCATTTTCCATCATCAAGAACTTTTCCATCATCAACCTGTTTTATATCAAAGCAACTTCAAGATTTCAACTTCTCATGGCTTCATCTTGATTTCAAAAAAGTAAAATGTTTTTTTTCTTTTCCAATTACCTGCTGTTTAAAAATGAAAATCCTTTTCGGAAATCCTTAAAAGCAATTCTGTTGAGAATCACTGTTAGTGCGTACACTTATATAAAATTAAGCATTTGTTCAAGCATCATGTTCATAGCTTCTATAAAATTTAGTAATTTAGTAAAAACAGAAGAAAAAAAAATTACTGAGAGAACCCATTTGGAGATAGAGAATTACCAGATCTGTGGGAGAAACCGAGAAAGGAGGAATTTTGATTGAAGAAAATTTGAGGCTTCGGCTCTAAAGGGGCAGAAGCAGAACAGTTCTTGAGCAGAGCTTGACTCTTGAGGAACTTCAGATTCTGAACTGAAGCAGAAACGGCTCGCCGGCGCCTGAACTGAACGGATGAACCGATGAAGTCGTGACTCGTGAAGAGAAAATAATAGGGTAGGGGAAAATCTTGAGGAACTTCAGATTAAGAAGGCAGAAGCGGCGCATGAAAATGGAAACATAAGTTAGGGTAAAGGAAGGGTTATTACTTATTTATATAGAATAAGGGTATAGTTGTCTTTTTAGTTTATCTTATCGGTTTATCGATAAAATGATAACCGAAGTGGACAAAATCGAAATCGAAATCGATAACTCGATAAGAAAATTTTCGAAATCGAAATCGATAAACCGATAACAAATAATCGATTCGATTTGTCGATAAACCGATTCGAATGCACACCCCTAGTCTCAGTTATATTAAGATGTTTCAATGCAGTATTCTAATGTTGAATTAGCGACACAGAAGAGCAATGCAATTATTGATGTGTTAGAAAGGTAAGAGATTTAGAGCCTGTTTGGAAAGCCATTTAGGAATTGGATTTGAATGTAATTGGGTGTAATTACATAGTTTGGCATGTTTGTTTGGCCAGGTAATTACTTGGTCAGTATGGAATTGGGTGTAATTAAAGAGGTATAATTACACTCTCCAATTCTCAAGGGGAGGTGAGAATTAATGGCAATTACACTAGGTAATTACAAGGTTGCCTTTTAGTTTCTTTCCTTTTTATTTTAATTTTAATTTTAATTTTTTTCTTTACAACTTTTTATATCTATATTTTTTTAAATTTTTAAATTTTATTTTTACTTTTATTTTTTTTGAAATTTTAAAATATATTTTATTTGTACATTATTTATATTTTATTTCTCTACCTTTACTTCTTGTGATTCCATGAAATTGCTTATATTTTATTTTTTATTTATTTTATTATTCTATTTTTTTGAAACTACGCCTCCTAATATTAGAAATAATGAGTCATTAACAAACTTGGTATATAATGATTGATGCAATTAAAGTGAAATTTCATTGTTGAATGTGGTTATAAACTTATTATGTTTCTTAATCTTAAGTTGTAGTAGAACTTACTATTATTATGTTGGAATTTGACATATGTTAAACTATATTTTTTGGATTTTAAAATTGTGTTATATTCATGGTTCCAATTTACTTGTTTTAATAGTATTGACTCATATTGCATGTTGTTCATTTGAATAATGTTATGACATTATATTTATAAATATTAATTTATTTATCAAACATAAATTCCATGATATTTTACAAAATATATGTTTTTAGTTTTTGTAAGTATCTAAATTAAATATTATTAATTTAGAATATATATAAAAATTATTTTTACAATATTAATTATAAATATATGATTACTAATTAATGTATATTCACGAAAAATATACATCTTAAATACCAAATATAATATCATTTATACTTATACAAATTTATAGGCATATATTTATTATATTAACTTTTAAGTTTTGATAATTGCTTCATTTAAAATTTTATTTAATTGTGTAATTACACTTGTGCA